GGAAGCACAAACTACTGATACATACATACATACATACATGATACATGATCTCTCCGTCCGTAGTCCTTTGCCTTAAGGAATTGGACAGGTCAGGGTTAATACAAAGAATAACCAGCTTAATACTAATTTTTGTCACCATCTAGGTAACTGTCTATGTCCTCTAAACTTAACTCTACTAGATATTTTTTTAATTCTGATTTGAATTTTGTTAAGCTCTGAATTTCAAGTAATTTTTTCGGTAGGGCCTGGTACAATTTCATTCCCATGTAATCTGGTTTGTGTTCAAATTTTGTGAGTTTATGTTGGACTGCATGTGTGCCCTTTGTTCGTGTGTTGTAAGTGTGATTTGTAAAAGTTGGTTTAATGTTCTGTGATTTTATATAGCAAACTGATTCATAGATATAAAGTGAAGGGACTGTGAGAAAGCCAAGTTCTTTATAAACATTTTTGCAGCTGGTCCGAGGCGGCATGCCCAAGATTGCTCTTACTGCCATATTCTGCCAGACAAAGATCTGGTCAATATTCTTCTTAACAGCTCCCCATAGAATGATTGAATACAAAATGTGCTGTTCTATTAGGCCAAAATACACAAGTTTAGAGAGAGCCAGGTTTCCGAAGGTTCTTATTCTTCGGAGTACAAAGACCCCTCGAGCCATAGACCCCTCCAGTTTTTTTATTTGTGCATCCCAGCTCAATTTATCGTCCAATCTCACCCCCAAAAAGTCGGCAGTTTTTGAAATTTGAATTTGATCCTCTCCAATTAATAGGTTCGGAGTCCTATTATTTTTTGAATTTTGTCTTTTTGCAGTTTGGATACACATGTATCCTGTTTTTTGTGAATTTAATTTGAGTTTGTTTGAGGAAAAAAAGTCAGCCAAATCATTTGCTCTTTGATTAGATTCTGCCTCCAGGGCCGCGTCGTCAGTTCCCCTTACGAACAACGTTGTATCATCCGCAAAGAGATAGACGCTGTCCTGCGGAACAGTATCTGTGATGTTGTTGATGTAGATCAAGAAAAGGAGAGGTCCAAGGACAGATCCCTGGGGGACGCCATTGGAGATCAATTTTTTTGTTGATGAAATTCTTTCAGTTTTTGAATTTGAGTTTTTTTGAATCTCAGTGACTTGGAATCGGTTGCTCATATAGGATGTGAGCCACTTCAGCGCAAGTCCTGAGATTCCAATTGATGCCAATTTTTCCAATAGAATTGCAGGTTCGACACAATCGAAGGCTTTGGAGAGATCAGCAAAACAACCAACTACCGTCTCTCCAGCCTCCATTGCGTCTATACTGCTGTTGATGAAATCAATGAGTGCCAATTTTGTTGATTTGTTGCGTCTAAAACCATATTGTCTGTCACACAATATGTTATTTTTTTCCAAGAAGTTGCTAAGTTGCTCCGAAACAACTTTCTCAATCAATTTTGAAACGACTGGTAGGAGAGAGATTGGGCGATAATTCCCCGGATCAGTTCTGTCTGACTTTTTAAAAATTGGTTTTATTTTTGCAATTTTGCAATTCTGAGGGAAAATTCCAGATGTCAGTGAAAAATTGACAATGTGGGTAAGAGGAACTGCCACTTCCTCCCTACAATATTTTAGGACATGCATACTGATTCCATCTACACCACTAGAGTGTTTAGATGGTAGCTTTGAGAACAAATCCAGAAGGTAAGCAGATGTAATCAAATGAAATTGTCCAAGTTCAGCAGTGCCATTCCTCCTAAAACCAGATAAGGCATGGGTTTCCTGATCCTTGTTAACAAGCTTCGAAACATTAACAAAATAGTCATTTAGGGTTTCACACACTTCTATAGGATTTTCTATTTTGTTACCGTCAATATTCAGTATAATATTATTACAGTCTGAATTTTCTTTTGGCCTAATGCTGTTTATAATCTTCCAAGAGTCTTTAGATTTATTTTTTGAGCTGGATATGCAATCGTGTGCCCATTTTATTTTACTTTCCTGTATTTTGTTTTTATATTTATCTTTAAGCTTTAGGTATAATTCTTTGTCAGATATCATTCCTGTCAGCCTCCATACAGAGTATTGTTGGAACATTTTTTCCTTAGCAGCTATTATCTCATTGTTCATCCATTTGTTTTTTCCTTTGCGACTAAGATTAAGTTTTGTTTTTTTATTCGGGCAGCTGATATCAAAATAATATTTGAATGTTTCTATAAAGCTATCATATTTGGTATTAATATCAGAACTGAATTCCATATCATACTGAACTGATTGAGTTGAAATGTGGTACAGTGGGTGGCAGATAATATAGGCATTTCTCATTTAAAGTAATTAGTAGTAAAGTAATAAAGTATCCAGATTTGAACCCAGATGACAAAATCCTGTACATACATCTATTGTACAATTTTATTATAACGCAACAAAATCTTAAAACTGACGTATAATTTTAAAATTGTAAGTGTAGTAGGCCTAAATAAAGAGAATATTATATTAATAATTAATTTATTGTACCTTTGCTATCAAACAGCTGCAAATATCTATGTCACGTAGTTAGGCTATATTAATAATAAAATTCTTCAAATGACATAAAATGTCTAAGAAAATCTTGTTTTACGAGACCAAATACAGCTTCTCTTATTCGTAATGGGTTTTGTAAAGACATCTGTTATGAAGCGGTTGTGGTGTAGTGGTCAAAGGGGTAGACTCCCACGCAGGAGTCCCGGGTTCGAATCCCAGTCGGCTACTTGAAAATTTTGTTTTGAAATTTTCAAATTAAAAATTGTTATTATGGTTTTAATGCATAGTTTATAAGATTTAATGTGAAAATATGTTTAATTGTAATTTTTTTATTTATTTATATATTTTTTATTAAAAAATTTCCATATATGGGGGATTCCATATATGATCATATCTGGTTATATTTGGTCCAAAACCAAATATAACCAGATAAAAAAAATTTTATATGGCCATATATAAACTTTTTCATAAGGGAAACAGTAAACATCTGAGCTTATTTAGGCTACATAAAGAAACCAATAATAGATTATGAGGTATAATAAAAAAACATGTTGAATGGTTTGTATTGTAAACTGAAAGCTATAACAATAGTTCTATATTCTATAACCCTGTCTGAAGTGTAATTTTCTAACATAATTTAGTGAAATCATAATCAGGCAAATGAAAATTCGATTAGTCTGCAGGTTTGCTTCGGCAGGGTTTTACATTACTGGTTACACAAAAATATATCTAAAAAATAATTTTCATACAAATCACGATAAAAGCCTAGGTTGATACGGCAATGATTATAGAATCTTAAAATTTCCTGTATTCATAACTAATTTCTTTTACAATGAATAATTCCCGTAAAATATTATTTCAGCATTTCACAAATATAATAACAGACTCAGTATGGATCATAAATATAAATAAATGAAGTAACTGAAGGAATCATATACTAATGAAATGGCAACATATGGTTTGACAGCTCCTTTAAGTAATGTTAAATAATGTTTACATTAGGGCTAGTGACATCATTATTTTATATTTATGATCCATACCCTTTCTGTTCTAATATTCGAGCGGTATTTATATGTTTGAACCAGCTATGCTTGACAGTTCTGCTTGTTTACATTTAAGCATTGTGGGGTTATTCTTTGTTGCCATAGAGGCCAATCAATATTAACTCTCACCTCAGAACTTTGAAAGCCCACGGGGTAGATTCCTTGGTCAATATCAAAGTGGGAATAGTTATATATGTTTCTTTAGAGCTATAGCTTCATTTTTTCCAATTTAAACCCAGTCGGTTCAGTAGTTTTTGAGTTTATCTCATACAAACACACAGACAGGCAGACAGACACCACCTCTTTTTTATAATGGTATCGATTAAGGCTTTCATATTTGAAAAATCATATCCTGTTGCAAAGCATGAGGAAAATCTCTTAGTAAAGTGTAAAATACCCAGGATTAATACAAACCATTTCTCAGCTGGGAGTGGAGTGTGTGTTCATGGAGTGTTGCAGCTGTTTGCTGTGCTCAACAAGTCTTGCCAACATTAAGACTATTTACAAGAGGTTATACCCGAGAGAGGCTGTCTCATTGTATTTGTTAGTTTGCGTAAGAGATATTCGGTTTTATCTTCAATCTTGGTGTTTACGTGGTGCTTTAAAACTTTAGCGGAGACACTTCTGTTAACCACAGAAGAATATTCTGGTAAAGAAAAGGTGGATTTAATATCCTACAAAAATACAAACTAATGTATGACACTATGTAATGTTTTACCTACCACAATAGTCAAGCCACCACACAAACTTTAGTTATCAATATAAATAGTCAAATATTTTGTACACGTTTTTATTTTTTGTAGAGTTATAATAATCAGTTTAACGGTATAGAATGTTTGCGTTTTCACCTAGCCATTTCGTAAATTATGTATGACTGGATGGTTAGAAATAGTTTATTCCCTACCCATAATCAATATGCCTTGTCTCATGGGTTGTATATCAGCAGATTCCAATGTTCTTAAGTGCGTATTGTTATTTTTTTCACAGAAAGTGTTTACAATCATTTCAATTTTGTATCACAAAAGATGGTTGTAAAGTATAACTAGGTGTGCAATGCAGTTGTCTGCTTGCAATATTGAGCGGAGCGAGCATATTAATCCAATACTTTCCTCAAGTCAATGCTACATCTGTTACTCGTAAATGAGATACATACTTGCGGTATCCAATGCCAATGTTATATTTGGTTAAGATAAATGGACTGCCTATTTATAGTTTCCAAAGTCAATTATAAGTTTAATTCACATAAATGAATTGTCTACATACAGGAACAAAAGTTAAGACATATAAATGATAACATAACCTCTTTCAGAAGTTATGAGAAGTGATTTTTAAAACACTGTCGTAGGTAAAGTAGTGTACGCAACTCACGTAAATAGAGTTAAGGACACGAGTAGAAAATGTAAGGTACAAGCCTTCTATAATAGTGTACAGTTGCTTATCAAGAAATACTTGTGATGTATGATTGTTGCAGGTCATCCCGGGATTGACGGCCCATCGCCTCGGTCGCCTCCTCCGCCGTTCTTCGAGCAGACATCCTCCAGTGTGATAGTGCAACCAGGACAGACCGTCCAGATACCCTGTAGAGTCAGACACCTGGGCGACAAAATTGTGAGTTACATTGTATGTTTAATGAAGTATCACTGTATATATTTGTGTGATGGTACAACCAGGACAGAACGTCCAGATACCCTGTAGAGTCAGACACCTGGGCGACAAAATTGTGAGTTACATTGTATGTTTAATGCAGTATCACTGTATATATTTGTGTGATGGTACAACCAGGACAGACCGTCCAGATACCCTGTAGAGTCAGACACCTGGGCGACAAAATTGTGAGTTACATTGTATGTTTAATGAAGTATCACTGTATATATTTGTGTGATGGTACAACCAGGACAGACCGTCCAGATACCCTGTAGAGTCAGACACCTGGGCGACAAAATTGTGAGTTACATTGTATGTTTAATGAAGTATCACTGTATATATTTGTGTGATGGTACAACCAGGACAGACCGTCCAGATACCCTGTAGAGTCAGACACCTGGGCGACAAGATTGTGAGTTACATTGTATGTTTAATGAAGTATCACTGTATATATTTGTGTGATGGTACAACCAGGACAGACCGTCCAGATACCCTGTAGATTCAGACACCTGGGCGACAAAATTGTGAGTTACATTGTATGTTTAATATAGTGTGACTATATATATATCTGTGTGATGGTACAACCAGGACAGACCGTCCAGATACCCTGTAGAGTCAGACACCTGGGCGACAAAATTGTGAGTTACATTGTATGTTTAATATAGTGTGACTATATATATCTGTGTGATGGTACAACCAGGACAGACCGTCCAGATACCCTGTAGAGTCAGACACCTGGTCGACAAGATTGTGAGTTACATTGTATGTTTAATGAAGTATCACTGTATATATTTGTGTGATGGTACAACCAGGACAGACCGTCCAGATACCCCGTAGAGTCAGACACCTGGGCGACAAAATTGTGAGTTACATTGTATGTTTAATGAAGTATCACTGTATATATTTGTGTGATGGTACAACCAGGACAGACCGTCCAGATACCCTGTAGAGTCAGACACCTGGGCGACAAAATTGTGAGTTACATTGTATGTTTAATGAAGTATCACTGTATATATTTGTGTGATGGTACAACCAGGACAGACCGTCCAGATACCCTGTAGATTCAGACACCTGGGCGACAAAATTGTGAGTTACATTGTATGTTTAATATAGTGTGACTATATATATATCTGTGTGATGGTACAACCAGGACAGACCGTCCAGATACCCTGTAGAGTCAGACACCTGGGCGACAAAATTGTGAGTTACATTGTATGTTTAATATAGTGTGACTATATATATCTGTGTGATGGTACAACCAGGACAGACCGTCCAGATACCCTGTAGAGTCAGACACCTGGTCGACAAGATTGTGAGTTACATTGTATGTTTAATGAGGTATCACTGTATATATTTGTGTGATGGTACAACCAGGACAGACCGTCCAGATACCCCGTAGAGTCAGACACCTGGGCGACAAAATTGTGAGTTACATTGTATGTTTAATGAAGTATCACTGTATATATTTGTGTGATGGTACAACCAGGACAGACCGTCCAGATACCCCGTAGAGTCAGACACCTGGGCGACAAAATTGTGAGTTACATTGTATGTTTAATGAAGTATCACTGTATATATTTGTGTGATGGTACAACCAGGACAGACCGTCCAGATACCCTGTAGAGTCAGACACCTGGGCGACAAAATTGTGAGTTACATTGTATGTTTAATGAAGTATCACTGTATATATTTGTGTGATGGTACAACCAGGACAGACCGTCCAGATACCCTGTAGAGTCAGACACCTGGGCGACAAAATTGTGAGTTACATTGTATGTTTAATGAAGTATCACTGTATATATTTGTGTGATGGTACAACCAGGACAGACCGTCCAGATACCCTGTAGAGTCAGACACCTGGGCGACAAAATTGTGAGTTACATTGTATGTTTAATGAAGTATCACTGTATATATTTGTGTGATGGTACAACCAGGACAGACCGTCCAGATACCCTGTAGAGTCAGACACCTGGGCGACAAAATTGTGAGTTACATTGTATGTTTAATATAGTGTGACTCTATATATTTGTGTGATGGTACAACCAGGACAGACCTTCCAGATACCCTGTAGAGTCAGACACCTGGGCGACAAAATTGTGAATTACATTGTATGTTTAATATAGTGTGACTCTATATATTTGTGTGATGGTACAACCAGGACAGACCTTCCAGATACCCTGTAGAGTTAGACACCTGGTCGACAAGATTGTGAGTTACATTGTATGTTTAATATAGTGTGACTCTATATATTTGTGTGATGGTACAACCAGGACAGACCGTCCAGATACCCTGTAGAGTCAGACACCTGGACGACAAGATTGTGAGTTACATTGTATGTTTAATATAGTGTGACTCTATATATTTGTGTGATGGTACAACCAGGACAGACCTTCCAGATACCCTGTAGAGTTAGACACCTGGTCGACAAGATTGTGAGTTACATTGTATGTTTAATATAGTGTGACTCTATATATTTGTGTGATGGTACAACCAGACATTTGTACAACATTGACAAGATTGCGAGTTACATTGTATGTTTAATATAGTGTGACTCTTGTACTTTATATAATAATAAAAAACCTTTTGAGATTGAGGAGCAAATCTTTAATTTTTTAATCGATCCCATCCTTTCACAACGGATTCAGAAACGCAATATACACAATAGGCTAACAGCACACCAATGTCCATCCAGTGCATACATATACATCATTATCCCGTATTTATTAACTGGCTCGTAGTATACAAGCAATACAACTGTCTAAATTTTAAACAACTGTTAAATCAATTCAAATTTTTTTTTTCATTTGTAAACCCAACTAATCAAGTATAGATATTTCATAAATATATTAAAAATCAAAAACATATTTAACAAAGTACCCTTTTAGTAATTATTTTTCATGACGACATGTTTCGGAAACTAAGTCCATTATCAAGTCATATTTACCATAACCTCATTCTTTAAACTAACAAAATTAAAAATATAATCATATGTAAAAATAATAAAATATAAAATATTTTAACTAAATCTTAATAAATTTTGGTATTAATTTTGTCATTATACTATATGAATGTTTTTCTTTCTTTCCTTAATTTTTCAATTTTATCGTAGATATGTTGGTTTAATTTTGGAATCATTGTGTTAAGTATGTTGTTGGGGTCCTTTTTGTTGTGTATATAAATATTTAGCTCTTTTTTACATTAAGTTTCTCACGTTCTTTTTCATATTCTAAAATTGTTAGATTTTCTTTCATGTTAACTGTGGTCTGAGTTCATTATATGGTCGGCGAAGTTCGACTTCATTGATGTTTGATTTTTTTATTTCAATGCTTGTATATGTTCTTTGAATCTTGTTTTAAAACTTCGAGATGTTTGACCTATATAATATGAATATAAACAAATATATGAACATAAATATATATATATAATATACGAACATAAATATAATATGAAGCTTATTAACCAAGCCTGGGGAAAAAGGCTACAATAGATATCGAATCGGGAAAGTGGTAGAAATCGCCCAATAATACGAAGGCCAATTTCACAACATAACCACTATCGTATAGACGATTTGCAATATTCCTTAACACACTGTGAATTACTCGGAATTAATTATTATCTCATAACTATGAAAAAAATCATTTGAGTACACTTAACACCCATCAACCACCTCATTGCTCCGCCATTTCTGACCGGTTCTTCTAAAGATCGTCTAACCAAGTAGTGCTGAGTAAACCACGCAGGCGGGCAGTTGTGTAGTGTAATGGAGCAACTTTGACCTAATTAATGTTCTGTTGGAGAGCTTTGAGAACAGTTCAACTTGTATTGGAGTCATCTGACCCACTCAATTATTGAAACCAACCTGTCGCGATAACCTGCTCTTTAATTTGGCAAATACAGTAATTCTTAATATAAACTTTGAAAAAAAATGCTATGTACAATTCGAATTGATGATTAGGTCATTTGTCTTTTATGGATTCATGTATGGATACATGTATTTATGTTCAAAGTGAATGCACGATTCATTTCACGAGTTTCTTTAAAGCATTCCTTATCTTATATTTATTTTTAGTCATCCATTTTCGTATGTAGAATTTTAAGTAGGTTTTCATAGGAATACTGATGAAACAAAAGTTTTTTTTAAAGAGTTAGCTTGTCTCTTACATCACTAAGTTTTTATTGAATATGTATTGTTAATAGTTGAATTGTGTCTTACTTAGAATTAATTGTACAACGATAAAAACGTTGTTCGCCAAACTATAAACGGCCAATTGTGTGACTTGGTATGGTTCACATTATTGAAATTATTAATTATAAAATTAAATTTTAATTTTGATTAGATTTTGCTTTTAATATTAAAATTATAAAGATAACTTAAAGTGTTATCAAAATTTAGACCCCCCACGAAATTCCACCTCTTTGCAGTGAAAATTAGTTCAAAGGTCTATTTTTTACGTTTTTGAGCACCCTATAAATAAGGATAAAAATAATATAAAACTTTTTCCACTAAAATACTCAGGGCTCAAAGACCTTTAAATGAGGTATAACACGACCCCTTTACATTTGAAAATTTTCCAAAATCCACCCCACCCCCCAAAATCTGCCCTTTGGGCTGTTTTTTTTTTTTTTTAAATAATTTATATGAATTCCTTGGGGTCAAAATAGGGGGTTCCAGTTGCAATTCGGTTTCTCTTTGCTTTCATATTGAAGCTGTAGAAGCCGGCCGGGGTGGTCTGGGACCCTGTATAGTGGTTAGAAGATCCTGAGTTAGGGATATTTTTGCTTAACTTTTTACAACTAAATCTACAGCTCTACAGGATTTATTTTGTCAATTAATGGTTGTTTAAACCCCTAATTCGTGTAGATTAGCAAACAATTATAAAAATTTGATTTTATAATTATTTGATTTGATTATTTTATTTGTTTAATATTATTTGTTGTGAAAGAGTAAAACAAAAACAGGAACA